GAAAAAAAAGGCAGGACATTAATTTTTAATGTTAATGTTTCTGTTATCAGTAGAAATAGGAAAAATACAGTACATGACATTTTGGTAAAACAGCATTCTATTTTTCTCCCTGTTACTTTGAGAACTATATTCACAAATCACCCCCAAGGGTATGGCCTCTATGCTGCCTGAATTGTATACACACATACAGAAACACACAGAGAGAGTCTCACAGCTTGACAGTTAAGATAGTACAAAACCTCTCTGAGTCTTTAAGAATAATGCACCCCTTTCTTTGCAAGGTACCAGCTTATGATAACAGTCTGTGTCACATTTGGAGAAATAAAGTACAAGCCACGACACCTTACAGCATAAACAGGGCAGCTGTGGTTCTGGAGAAAAGCTCTGAGAGCATATGCTTTTCACACATCAGTTTCTAGCTACAATTGAGAAAGGACTTGATAATATACATACAGTACATATCCGTACACATATTCGCCTTCAGGGTGAAAAAATGTTATGCAAAGCATAAAAAGAAACTAAGAAATAGCAAGCCAAAGAAATTAAAGAGACAAGATAAGAAAAACTAAAATATATCTAAAGCTAGCCCAAAGGTGTTTTTCCAAAAGGCAGCTTTTTTTTTCTTTGAAAATGTTTTGCTTCTCATCCAAAAAGCTTCTTCAGTCACCAAAGAAGCTTCTTGGATGAAAAGTAAAATGTTTTCAAAGAAAAAAACAAACAAACCAAGAACGTCCAATTGCCTTTTAGAAAAGCACCTTTGGACAAACATGACCTGGTGATTGAGAATCTCTATGTTGTTGTTAGTTGCGAAGTCATGTCCGACCCATTGCGACCCCATGGACAACCTTCCTCCAGGCCTTCCTGACCTCTACCATCTTCTGGAGTCTATTTAAGCTCTTGCCTACTGCTTCAGTGACTCCATCCAACCACCTCATTCTCTGTCGTCCCCTTCTTCTATTGCCCTCAATCTTTCCCAGCATCAGGCTCTTCTCCAGTGAGTCTTTCCTTCTCATTAGGTGGCCAAAGTATTTGAGTTTCAACTTCAGGATCTGGCCTTCTAAAGAGCAGTCAGGGTTGATCTCCTCTAGGACTGACCGGTTTGATCACCTTGCAGTCCAGGAGACTCGCAGGAGTCTTCTCCAGCACCATAGTTCAAAGGTCTCAAAGGCCTCCGTAGTCATTTCTAAAGCTAATTCACACCAAGACCATTTGCATATGGTTCCAGAGTTTTCTCTTCTTCCACCATATTCATACAGTGTTTCAGCATCATTCTTTGTTAAGCTTACATCTCTCTTTCTCAGAAAATTATCACCTCCGTGCTATCAGAACTTTTCCGATATTTCTATTATTTTTGACTCTCATTTTTTCTTTAAATATTTCATTTTAAATTCAACTCTCCTGTGACCAAACCTCATGAGTTTATTTGAGGCTGGTCACTTAGCTTTTTATTCGGCTCACTCATTCATCCTTAATCCTATCTATCCTTTTTTTTCTTCCCCATTTGGAGTAAGCATTCTGCTAATAAACACAAATACATCTATCTATCCTAGTTTTTTGCTCTTTTTTGTGTATAGTTTAAAATCCTTCACTCTACTTCTGTGTAAGCATAACTACATTCATGTTTGAAACATTAAATTTCAGATCCTCCTCACTGCAGTATACTGTGGTAATGTTACCCCCCTCCCCCGTACAAATGTACCAAATCTCCCAAGATCTGTTCCCCACCTACCCCCACTCCTAAAATTATGGACTGCTA